TTACACGGAGGGCTGGTGTGCAAGTTGGGGTTACAAGGACGGCTAGTATGCCATTTGGGGTTACAAGGAGGGATAGTGTGCCAGTTGGGGTCACAAGGAGGGCTAGTGTGCCATTTGGGGCTACAAGGAGGGATAGTGTGCCAGTTGGGGTCACAAGGAGGGCTAGTGTGCCATTTGGGGCTACAAGGAGGGATAGTGTGCCGGTTGGGGTTACAAGGAGGGCTAGTGTGCTGGCTGGGGTTACAAGGAGGGCTAGTGTGTGTGCTGGAGTTTACAAGGAGGGCTAGTGTGCGTGCTGGAGTTACAAGAGAGGCTAGTGTGCGTGCTGGAGTTACAAGGAGGACTAGTGTGCCAGTTGGGGTTACAAGGAGGGCTAGTGTGCCTGCTGGGGTTGCAAGGAGGGCTAGTGTGCCTGCTGGGGTTACAAGGAGGGCTAGTGTGTGTGCTGGAGTTACAAGGAGGGTCGTATGTCTCCTGGAGTTACAAGGAGGACTAGTGTGCCAGTTGGGTTACAAGGAGGGCTAGTGTGCCGGCTGGAGTTACATGGAGAGATAGTGTGCTGGTTGGGTTTACAGGAAGATTACTGTGGGGATTGAGTTTACACAGATGTTAGTGTATAAATTGGGGTTACATGGGGGTTAACGTGTGGCCCGACATAACATAAGGGTTAGAGGAAGGTTAGTGTGTAGTTTGATGGTACATGGAGGTTCTTGTGTGGGCTGGGGTTATATGGAAGTTCGTGTACAGGTTGGGGTTACATGGTGGTTAGTGTACAGGTTGGGGTTACATGGGGCTGATGTGCTGGTTGGGGTTACAATGAAGGTTCGTGTACTGGTTGAATGTACAGCGACATTACTGTGAGGGTCAGGGTTACATGGAGATTAGATTTTTTTTTAAATTACTTTACATGGATTAGTATACAGGTTTGGGAGGTTAAAGTGTAAATTGGGGTTACATGAAGGTTAGCGTGTGGATTGACATTACATGAGGGTTACAGGGAGGTTAGTGTGTAGATTGGAGTTACATAGAAACTAGTGTGTTGACTGGGGTTCCATGGAGGTTAGTGTGTGGGTTGACCTTACATAGAGGTTAGTGTATAGATTAGAGTTAGAGTCTAGATTGGGGTTACGTGGGGGCTAGTGTGCTGGTTGGGGTTACAAGGATGAATGGTATGTTTGTTGGGTTTACAAGGAGATTACTGTGAAGGATGGGGTTACATGGAGGTCAGTGTGTGGATTGACCTTACATAGAAGCTGATGTACAGATTAGGGTTAGAGTGAGGTTAGTTTCTAGATTGGGATTACATGGGGGCTAGTGTGCCAGTTGGGGTTACAAGGATGGATTGTGTGATTGTTGGGTTTACGGGAAGATTATTGTGAAGGTTAGGGTTACATGGAGGTTAGTATACAAGTTTGGGTTACATGGAGGTTAGTTTGTAAACTGGGTTACATGGAGGTTAGTTTGTAAACTTGGTTACATGGAGGTTAGTTTGTAAACTTGGTTACATGGAGGTTAGATTGTAAACTTGGTTACATGGAGGTTAGTTTGTAAACTTGGTTACATGGAGGTTAGATTGTAAACTTGGTTACATGGAGGTTAGTTTGGTAAACTTGGTTACATGGAGGTTAGATTGTAAACTGGGTTACATGGAGGTTAATGCGTAGATTGAAGTTACATGGAGGTTAGTATACAAGTTTGGGTTACATGGAGGTTAGTGTGTAAATTGGGGTTACATGGAGGGTAGTGTGTGGATTGATGCTACATGGGGGTTAGAGGGAGGTTACTGTGTAGTTTGGGGGTACATGGTGGTTAGTGTGCGAGTTTGGGTTACACAGAAGTTAGTATGACAGTTGGGGTTACAAGGTGAGCTAGAGTGCTGGTTGGGTTTACAAAGAGATTACTGAGATTTGGGTTTAGTGAGATTAGTGTCCAGTTTAGTATTACTCGGAGGTTAGTGCGCGGTTTGGGTTACATGGGGGTTAGTGTGCTTGTATGGTTTACAGGGAGTTTACAATGAGGGTTGGGGTTACTGGGGTTACCATACGATTTGGTGTCATTGGGAGGTTAGTGTGCGGTTTGGGTTACATGGGGGTTAGTGTGCTTGTATGGTTTACAGGGAGTTTACTATGAGGGTTGGGGTTACTGGGGTTACCATACGATTTGGTGTCATTGGGAGGTTAGTGTGCGGTTTGGGTTACATGGGGGTTAGTGTGCTTGTATGGTTTACAGGGAGTTTACTATGAGGGTTGGGGTTACTGGGGTTACCATACGATTTGGTGTCATTGGGAGGTTAGTGTGTGGTTTGGGTTACATGAAGGTTAGTGTGCTCGTTTGGCTTACAGGGAGTTTACTGTGAGGGTTGGGGTTACTGGGGTTACCATATGATTTGGTGTCATTGGGAGGTTAGTGTGTGGTTTGGGTTACATGGGGGTTAGTGTGCTGGTTTGGTTTACAAAGAGTTTACTGTGAGGGTTGGGGTTACTGGGGTTACCATATGATTTGGTGTCATTGGGAGGTTAGTGTGCGGTCGGTTGGGTTACATGGGGGTTAGTATGCTGGTTTGGTTTACAGGGAGCTTACTATGCGGGTTACTGGGGTTACGATATGATTTGGTGTCATTGGAAGGTTAGTGTGCTCGTTTGGCTTACAGGGAGCTTACTATGAGGGTTGGGGTTACTGGGGTTACCATATGATTTGGTGTCATTGGGAGGTTAGTGTGCGGTTTGGGATACATGGGGATTAGTGTGCTGGTTTGGTTTACAGGGAGTTTACTGTGAGGGTTGGGGTCACTGGGGTTACCATATGATTTGGTGTCATTGGGAGGTTAGTGCGCGGTTTGGGTTACATGGGGGTTAGTGTGCTGGTTTGGTTTACAGGGAGCTTACTATGAGGGTTACTGGGGTTACCATATGATTTGGTGTCATTGGGAGGTTAGTGTGCGGTTTGGGTTACATGGGGGTTAGTGTTCCGGTTGAGGTTTCAGTAAAGGTCAGTGGAAGGAGTGGCTATTGGCTAATTTAAATTACACAAAAACACTTTTTTTGCAAAAATAGGCAGATAGCTTGTCTAAATTGTCAAATTCTTTCTACAAAAAGATTTTGTTGGATGATTTTGCACCATTAAACAACATACTTAGTGAGGCTGTGTGGATAAATTGCCCAGAGCAGCTTTATAAATAGGAGCAAGTGTTGGAATCAATATATTGACTGTGAACACTTATAAATAGGTCTGTGGATTGCTTTTGAATTTTGCAGTAGATTGTCCATCCCTGATGTGGTGGCCATTCATGACCTGCAGCCTCCAGCCACTGACTTGCTCTGTCCATTACGTTTTCCTTCTCTAGTTGCGGAGGGAAGCCCACCCAAGTGCTCCAGTTGGCATACAGGCTTCCAAGGATGCAATTTATTGGTCGAGGTTGTAGGGGCAGGACTGAGGACCCCAGAGCAGATTAGAAAATGGGGCAATTCTTTAATATCTATCTGTTGGTTGTCTAGCAACTGTAGCAGACAGCGGGATATCTATCTGACTAACTGTTCCCCTTTATAACGGTTCAGATGTGTGCCGCTCGTGCTCCCCTTCGGAGAAGAGCCAGCACGCCCCTGCCCTGTGCCCATCAGATCCGCTCACAGAACAGTAATCCTGCAATGGAGGTAGGCACGCAGCCACCATCTCAGCCCACGACTGAGGCATGCGGCAGTGAATTAGATGGATCCGAAAGTACCAATGGAACAGCGGATGGCATCTTCAGGGTGGTTCTTCTGGGAGACCCTGGGGTTGGGAAGACCAGCTTGGTTGGAATTTTCAGAAGAGAGCAGGATAGAGAAACATCAGATCAGCAACAAGGTAAGGAGAAGAACAAATGTCTAAATTTACCAGTGTTATATTTTTTCATGTCATGTACATCCATACTAAGCAATGTGTCAGTTCCAGTTCAAGGTAGTTATCACCTCTCACATAGACCACAGTCCTCCCCCTGACAATGCCTTCATCTGCTTTTCTCTCAAGTAGGATGGCACCATCTATGTTCAGGCATCATCCAAGGTCACCATGTACTTCTCGGACTGGGATGCCAGATCAGAGATGACACAATCATGAAAATTCTGGTCCTTGTGCAGTTCTTAGGTGTGTTCAGGGGCAGACTGACAACTTATCGGGCCCCTGGGCAATAGGGGATCATGGGGCCCCTGTGTGTCCTTGCCCACACTCAAAGCACACCCAAAAAATCCTATAAAAAGGTACCAGGGGCATTTCATACCTACTGACTCTGAGGCCCTCGGGCAGTCCCTGAGTGCTCGAATGGTCAGTCCACCCCTGGGTGTGTTCACAAATGTCTGCAACAGATCAGACCCTGTTGCAGCCTTTCACCTTGTGACTTGTTACAATGTTGCAGTCTTATCACTGGAGGAGGAGAGACTGAGGAAATGCTTTCTCCTGTCCGCAGCAGACTGATCTGATCATCTCAGCCTATGTCAATGGACTGGAACCTTAACGATGGCTTTTTGATAATAAAAGGTGGAGCTTTTTTTGGAAAACATTACTGTTACCGTATATTGGACATGTCAGGAATGCATTCATGCAAACTATTCCAGTTACTAATAGGTCCACTTTAAACAATAGAATGTGCATTGACTTACATGAAGTAAGAGTTTGCTCTAGTGTAATGCAATTGCTACATTCTGCTGCACACAGACTACATCCATCAATGTACCACTCGTGCTTTACACAATATCAAGATTTTCTGGGCATAAAACATCAAGGTTGTGAGGAGCACAACACACTGATACACAGAATGGTGTGTATTTGTGCATTTTATTATTATACCTTTAACCACTCTTGTGCCTTAGGGCTCATGTACACCACAGCTGATAAACTCACGTTTAGGTGCTGTTCTGCGTTTTTTTTCAGCAGCCCCTGAACTCACCCTAATGTGTTCCTATGTGTTCATGTACACATCTTCGTTTACAGGCAGTTGAGTTTACAGTCGTTTTTTTGAACGTAACAAACTTGCATTCAGACATTGATTTTATCAGCTTTTCAAACGCTAAACGCTTGTAAACGCGGCAAATCACGTTTATAAGTGTTTGCGTTTGAAATTTTTTTTAACTCTTCCAGTTCCCAATGCTGTCATCATGGAAAATGCATGGAAAGAGTTTTCAAGGTACTCAGATGGACAAAACACTGAACACAGGATGTTCCTACCAAGCTGGTCGCACATTGTAATGACCAATTTACAACTTAGACCTGTCCCACCCTTGGAAACACAAGATATGTTAATGACCATTCACACCTCAGACCTCTTCCACCCTTGGAAACACAAGATATGTTAATGACCAATTCACACCTCAGACCTCTCCCACCCTTGGAAACAGGAGATATCTTAATGACCATTCACACCTCAGACCTCTCCCACTCTTGGAAACAAAAGATATGTTAATGACCATTCACACCACAGACCTCTCCCACCCTTGGAAACAAAAGATATGTTAATGAACATTCACACCTCAGACCTCTCCCACCCTTGGAAACACAAGATATGTTAATGACCATTCAGACCTCTCCCACCCTTGGAAACAAAAGATATGTTAATGACCATTCACACCTCACATTCCTCATGAAGACCCCCTGCCATCTGGCCTTAATGACTCCCTCCACCAGACACCTTTCCCACCCTTGGAAACAAAAGAAATGTTAATGAGCAACTCACACCTAAGCTAATCTCAACACATACTGCTGTCTCTGCTTCTACTCTCTGTATTTCTCTGAAACCGTCTGAAATAGTTAATAATTTACCACTTTTCAGTGCATTCTGGGCATTTGGGAGGTTCTCCTGTGCTTATCTTTAAAAAACGCTTCTAAATTCAAACACTCATAAACGCACATAAACGTGTTATGCAAACGCAGCTAAACAGACATTTTTTAACCTACGTTTTCCAGCAGTCCGTTTCCATCGTTCAGAAACATCCCATGTACATGGAGCCTAGACATGCTATATTCTGCCAAAAAAACTTCACTAAAGTATACAGGATTTATGTAGCAAGCCCTCTGCTGCCGCTCCTGCTACCACTTCAACTGGCAATTTCTGGCTGTCAAAATGACAGCCAGGAATTGCTATATAAAAACAGCAGTCGGCTCTAACCATTGCTGTCAATAACAGACCTCGTTTATAAACATTGTTCAGACTCTGGATTCAGAGATACAAAGCAGCATCATTGCTACTTTGTATTTACTCTGTTTCATTCATCTGCAGATCTAAGTCCCTGCTGCCAAGAAAACTTCTTCCTCTTTCCCCTTGCAGTCTTTTGTTCCTGTGTACGCTGTACAGCGGATGGGCCATGCAGTCAGGGCTGCTGTTAGAAACCATGGGCCCCATACAGCCAACCTTGACAGGGCCCCCCCCCCAAATAAAAAACACAGTTTACTATGCTTCAGTTATGAATGAACATAGTGAGTGATTGGTACCAACCACTCATTGTGTTCATTCAGCAAAGGAAGGGGCTGGTAAATGCGACATATTTACTGGATCCTTCTCCCACTCTCCATCCTGAAGGATCCTATTATGTACTTGCAGCTGCTGGTAGGAAGCAGAGGAGGGAGGCAGTGGCACTGCAGGGTGGGGGTATATGGGGGGCCTGGACAGCAGGGGAAAACATATGGTGAACAGAGATGGTTATGGGTTCAGCAGGGGGGGTGGGGGGGGCGCAGTTACTGGAACCTATCACCCGTATGGCTCTCTCTATAGCAGCTGAAAGCCAGCAGGAGGGAGAGAACAAGAAGCCAGTGGGAAGGAGAGGAGAAGAAGCCAGCTTTTAGCTGCTGCTGAGAGAGCCATACGGGGGATCGGTTCCAGTAATTGCCCCCCACAATGAGCTGATCACCCTCCCTGTCCACATCCAATTCACTTAGCTGCCTGGGCCCCGTACAGGAGGACTGGTGGTACCCCCTTGTCCACGGTCCTGCATGCAGTACTTACTTTCGATTAATTTGGCCAGGGCCCTGTGATCATGTAAGTCCTATGCTCATGCGCAGGGGGTTATATTATCAATGGTCAGTCAGCAATTTATGTGGACTGCCACAGGGCCCAGAAGAATCGGCAGCAGAGATGGAGGCGGTGAAGGGATGCAGTGGTGACTGGATCCATCATCGCTATAGAATAACACAGGCGGAATAGAAGTTGTCTATAAGGAGAATTTAAAGTGATACTAAAGTAATTTTTTTTTAAATAATAACCGTGTCATACGTTACCTGCTCTGTGCAATGGTTTTGCACAGAGCAGCCCCAAACCTCCTCTTCTCAGGTCCCTCGCTCGTGCTCCTGACTCCTCCCACCTGCTGAGTGTCCCTATAGCGAGCCACTTGCTATGGGGGCACTCAAGTGTGCTTGCCCCCGAGCCTCGCTCTGTGTGTGCTGTCTCTGAGACAATGAGGAGGGAGAGAGCTGGGAGGGCCGCTGCTCTAGTGCACAGCGCTGGATCGAGGTCGGGCTAGGTAAGTATTAGGGGGGCTGGGGGGGAGCAGCACACAGAATGATCAACATGTATAAATACATAAGTGGGGATATAATCACCATGTATAATACATAAGGGGGGATATTATCACCATGTATAATACATAAGGGGGGATATAATCACCATGTATAATACATAAGGGGGGATATGATATCCATGTATAATACATAAGGGGGATATGATCTCCATGTATAATACATAAGGGGGGATATTATCACCATGTATAATACATAAGGGGGATATGATCTCCATGTATAATACATAAGGGGGGATATAATCACCATGTATAATACATAAGGGGGGATATGATCACCATGTATAATACATAAGGGGGATATGATCTCCATGTATAATACATAAGGGGGGATATTATCACCATGTATAATACATAAGGGGGATATGATCTCCATGTATAATACATAAGGGGGATATGATCTCCATGTATAATACATAAGGGGGGGGATATGATCACCGTGTATAATACATAAGGGGGGATATGATCTCCGTGTATAATACATAAGGGGGGGATATGATCTCCATGTATAATACATAGGGGGGATATGATCTCCATGTATAATACATAAGGGGGGATATGATCACCATGTATAATACATAAGGGGGATATGATCTCCATGTATAATACATAAGGGGGGATATGATCTCCATGTATAATACATAAGGGGGGGATATGATCTCCATGTATAATACATAAGGGGGGGGATATGATCTCCATGTATAATACATAAGGGGGATATGATCTCCATGTATAATACATAAGGGGGGATATGATCTCCATGTATAATACATAAGGGGGGGATATGATCTCCATGTATAATACATAAGGGGGGATATGATCTCCATGTATAATACATAAGGGGGATATGATCTCCATGTATAATACATAAGGGGGGATATGATCTCCATGTATAATACATAAGGGGGATATGATCTCCATGGGGGGGATATGATCTCCATGTATAATACATAAGGGGGGGGACATAAGGGGGGATATGATCTCCATGTATAATACATAAGGGGGGGATATGATCTCCATGTATAATACATAAGGGGGGACATGATCTCCATGTATAATACATAAGGGGGGACATGATCTCCATGTATAATACATAAGGGGGGATATGATCTCCATGTATAATACATAAGGGGGGGGATACATAAAGGGGGGATATGATCTCCATGTATAATACATAAGGGGGGATATGATCTCCATGTATAATACATAAGGGGGGATATGATCTCCATGTATAATACATAAGGGGGGATATGATCTCCATGTATAAATACATAAGGGGGGATATGATCTCCATGTATAATACATAAGGGGGGATATGATCAACATGTATAATACATAAGGGGGGGATATGATCGCCATGTATAATACATAAGGGGGGATATGATCTCCATGTATAATACATAAGGGGGGATATGAGCTCCATGTATAATACATAAGGGTGGATATGATCTCCATGTATAATACATAAGGGGGGATATGATCTCCGTGTATAATACATAAGTGGTCCATATAGTGAACTCAGTGTAGAGTTATTCCCCCTGAGGTCATCACAGATGACAAGGGGGCGCTCATTACAGCTGGGGGAAAAGAAATTTAATCTTCAAAAACGGAAAGGTTTCTTCACAGTAAGAGCTGTGAAAATGAGGAATAGACTCCCTCAAGAGTTGGTTGTGGCCAGCTCAGTGGATTGCTGTAGGAAAGTCCTGGATTCTTTCTTGGATACACAGAATATAACTGGATATAACATTTATAGGGAAAGTTAATCCAGGTAATATTGGATTGCCTCTCAGGGGATCAAGGAGGGATTTTTTTTCCTTGCAGGAGCAAATTGCATCATGCTTTGCTGGGTTTCTTTGTCTTCCTCTGGATCAACTGTGGGTGTAGGATTATAACTTTTTTTTTATTGGTTGAACTTTTGTCTTTTTTCAGCCAGACTAACTATGTAACTATGTAAGGTTTTTATCTTTTATGGCCTGTAGTACCATGTTGCTTGCTGCCTGTTCGGTAACATACAGCTCTTTCACTCAGAATTCTACAAGTGCACGCTGGGCGTGGATGGCGAGGACACCAGCCTTCTCCTGATGGACATCTGTGAAGTTCAGGTAAGCCGCTCTGGATTTGATGTAAATCTCAAGGTTTGGCAAACTCACTTGGTACCTTACTGCTTTATGTCTCTTTCATACATTTGCAAGATATACATTAGACAACGTCTGTAAGGCTCAGTAGAGGAGGCTCTGGGCAGAATCACATAGTGAGTTTTGAATGGTAGAGATCTTCCTCTCCTCTTCTGCCACCCAACCAGCTTCATCACATCCGTAAACCTTTAATTTGATCAGTCTGCCACAGGGGCGGACTGACCATTTGGAAACTCGGGCACTGCCCGAGGGCCCGGGGTCAGTAGGGGACCCCATGAGATGCCCCTGGTACCTTTTTCATAGGCTTTTTTGAGTTTGGGCAAGGGCACAGGGGCCCCATGATCCCCTATTGCCCGGGGGCCCCATGAGTTGTCAGTCCGCCCCTGGTCTGCCATTGTATTCCTTGCTGGGTGCTCACTGTCTCATTCAGTGCATCAGTCAATAACATTTTATTTGAAAGGCAGGTACATGCATATAGCATAAAACAAATTCCTAACCAATCTACCAAACATTGTTTGGTTCACTGTTTCTTTAACCCCTTGGCGCCGGCGCCTCCCGGCACTTTAAGGGTTTCAGAAGCCGGGGGGGGCGGGGGTTTTAGGGTCACGTGATCGCCATGATTCGCCGTCATGGCGGTCACATGATCGGGAAAGGTCCTGATCGAAAGAGGAGATCGGGTCCTTTCCGTGAGTACTGGACATGTGTACTGGGAGTGCGAAGGGCGCGCGGTCTCAGCACATATGTTTTTCTTAATTGCACGCAAATGTGCTGCCGCTTGGCGTCAAGGCCCAGATGCCGGGAGGCCACACATTTGCGTGTGGCCGGCGCCAAGAGTTTAAAGTAGAACATTGGACAGCACAGTGGCTAAATCTTTAGCACTTCCGCCTGGCAGTATTAAGGTAGTTGGTTTGAATCCCAACCACGGCACCACCTGCCTGGAGT